AGGGATCTTGAAAAGAAATCCCTTATTTCACCATCTGCACTGAGCAGGAAGGCCTCAGGCCCGAATTCACCCCGGAAGAAAGCCCTAGGACTACTACTACCTGTTCTTTTAAGCTCTGATTCTGACAACTGTGCAATAGTTTCTGCTGGATCAGCTCCTGAACAGTCTTTCTGCCCTTCCCTTAGAAGCCAAACCAACCTCCTCCACTTACCAACAAGCCAACCACAGTAACAGTGCAAAAAGCAGGGATTTTGCAGAGTGGGTGGGAGAGTCCCTTGGCTACAGAAGCTAAACCAAGCGAGTCATTTAGAAGAGTCACGGCCAACAAGGCTTTTCTGAAATTCAGGGACAGAAAACAAGACGAGAGGTTCAAGCACCAGGAACATTAAAAACAAGCTTGAGGTTGCAGCGGCTTCCCCACACCTTGTGAGTGCTGGGACATTTGTGGCCCTGCCCAGCCCACAGAGAGAGAAGATAAACTCCAAGTGCGCAGCACCCCAGGGGCTGTTCCAGCCTTACCTTTCGGCACAGAGGACCGAGCACTCACATCTGTGTGTGCTTCTTGTTTCTGGCTTGAGTTACCTAAAGGAATTGGATTGGAAATGAAAAACAGTTACAGCTCTCAAAATCTGGGCTGGCCAAAGTCAAAGGGCGAGCAGCGAGCAACGCATACACTGATATGAAACCAACATTTGGCTGATACAACACAGCCAGGTTTCAGGCTCCCCCATCTGATCTTTTCCTTTGAGATTGCTCAAAAATACAGACAACTTCCATTTTCAAGGGAGGAGTGAAATAACTTTATGAAACGTACAAACTCGGGGCATGGGCAGCTTCGGTTGATCTAAGACCACACCGCAGCCCCAAAAAGGAAGCTCACTCCTGCAAAGGAAATCTTTCTGCGATGAAATTGTTGGCAGAGTCACTCAGCAGCCCAATCAAGGGCCTCTTCTGTCCCACTGCATGGCTCAAGCTGCCACAAAACCCCTCTCAGCCTCGCCAGCTCCACAGACGGGGTTCCCAGAGCTTCAGAGGGCCAAACAGGAGTCCGTGTGCCACCAGGACTCTGCTTAGATAAACCCATACCTGAAAGCACCGCTCTCCAAAACCAGAAGGGACACATTTATGTATTGACTCCTCTCACTGGCATTTCCAGCCTTTCCCAGCATGCTGGCATTCCTAGCTCAAGCATCAGTATGAAGCAACAAAGAACAAGGCTCCAGACGGGCACACGTGTTGCGCTCCAGTACCCTGATTCTTGCCCTGTGTGCCACGAAAAGCAAAGACAGTTGCGGTGCTGGAAGAGTGAATCCGGCTATTTCTCTGCTACTCATCTCCAGCACCACTTGGGCTGCCCTTCAGGTTTGCTTTAGCCTGCATCAGTTCTCCCGTCTCACCCACCGTGCAGAGAGAAATGCTCTTCCCTAGGAGTCTCTCTAGCTACGGCAACCTAACGGCTCATCTGGCCTAACCTAAGCCTGCTTTGTCACTCCAAAGCATGGTCCGTGTCATCCTTCTCCAAATCACCAACTCCTGCCGACATCCCTGGGACAGCCCCCGCAACCACACAGCTACGCAGAGAGTCGGGGCAACCGAAAAGCCAAGCCTGGACCAAAAAAAAACAAAAGCAAAACCAGAAGCAAAACCAGAAGCAAAACCAGAAGCAAAACCATCTTCAGAAGGCTCGATGATGCTAAACTGTTCATACTCCAGTTAAAGCCAACTCTGAAGCCTTAGGAGGCAACTATTTTTATGATCTACCATGGCATCAAAAGGTTGAAATCTGTTTTGGCTTCAGTCCCTGCTTGTATGATCTCTCGTTTCGCCTCTGCGCCAGTAACTGCCGCTGCAGTTGGTCACCAAAGGCTGCGCCCGTCTGAGCGATGCAAGCAACGCTAAGTTACTGCAAACAGGAGTTACACCACGCGCAGCGACCGCACACATTACAGATCACACAATTTCCTCTCAAGCCGCTGCCTCCAACTTCGAAAGACAGAGAGGGGAAAGTGGTTTTTCTTGTGGCCTTAAGAATTCCGTGTTGCTTGCCGTTCTGGATCAGGACAATAAAACCCAGCAACTAAAAATCTGTGGTGCAAACAGGTAGCACTTAACTGCTTCTTCAAATAAATCTATGAAAAAATTTCATCTCGGCTTTATTTGTGAGAGGCACCGTTTTCATTGTTTGGGGCTTCTTACGTCTGATGTTTTTACCTCAACTTACATTTCTAAGACAGAAGTTGCATTTCCGATTAAAAAACCCCAAACACCACAAATTTCAGCAGTTTCAAAACCTTCCTTCAAGAGAAAACTTATCAAAATAAACTTTCTCACCACGAGACATAGACTGAAGCTACATTTTCTCATTAAGAAAATCACCGTCATCCAGAAACTCCTGAACTACCTCTGCATCCACATTTTCTCTCTCACAGCTATCACGATGCTCTCTACTTTCACAAAAAGCAATCCGGGATCCCAACCTTTTCCTCTCACAATTCAAATAGTTGCAATTAGTGCCTCAAGACCACTAGTTTCTCCCTAAGCAAAGTGACTTTACCCCGGGGAACAATTCCAACGTGGGAATCCAGATGATACAACCATGTAGGTTCCCACCAGATCCACGGAACTCTCCACCTTCCAATCGAACCAAGCAAAAAGAAAGCGCTCACCAACCGCCGTGAGGCACAGCAGAGGTGAAAAAGCACGCACAAAAACGTGACCTAAAGCTGTTTGCTGGCAAGAATTATTTTTGGAAGGATCAGACTTACTCCAGAGACTGTGGTGAAAGACAGACGGGGCGAACCGGATTTTTTAAATCAAGAGGCTCAGTTAAAAAGGCCTTTCTAACTGAGCCTCTTGGTTTAAAAAAATCCGCCTGGACGCTCCGGAGAGGACTGTCGCCTCGCGCAGATGGGGCACTGACCGTACAAGTGAGGGTACTGGTGGTCTCACTGCCTAAACTGGTCCGTTGGCTATGGGGGGGGACAAGGCACTGGTCACATTTGGAGCAGGTCAGAGGAAACTGGCCGCATCTCCGTTACAGAATCACAGAATCACAGAGTTGTTGAGTCTAGAAAAGACCTCTGAGATCCAGTCCAGCCTAGGACCCAACACTCCCACGCTGGCCAGACCACAGCACTAAGTTACCTTCTCCCGCAGAACTCATGAGCAGTATCTCCAGCTCGAGGGGGAGGTCGCAGTCCATGCAGAGGTATTGGGCAAATCGTTTCCAGATGGCCGGGCCAGCCTTCTCCAGCGCGTCAAGCAGCACCGAGACTTGTTCTCTGTGGTCAGTGGCATCTTCCAGGTCCTTCAGGGTCACCCCTGGGAGAAATCGCTGCGAGGTCTCGAGCAGCCAGTCAGGCTGGCGACTGAGGAACTCCACAAGCTGGGGACGGGCGCGTGCTACAGCTGCTTCCAGGTCCAGACCATCCTGAAACGAGGGCTGGAGGGATGAAACCAGGAAGGGTAGCAACAGGCATCGGAGCAAGAGACGTCCACCCGCACAGCCCTGGATGACTTGATCTGCTTTTCCAGCGCTCAGTCTAACCCAGAATTGCTGATTTGCCTTGCTCTCACTGTGTCGTGTGGCAACGTCCGGCCATGACGTGACAGGGAGCAAGGACCACAGTGGAACTGCGAGGGACAGGAGCGAATGAGAGGAATCAGTCTCTCTGGCATCAGCCAGCAAGAAGCTCTGCTGACCACTGCAGTGGCCATCTGCCTGATATAACACCGCAGGCATCTTTCACAAGCAGCAGGACCTCTGTGGAGGCGTGGGACTCAAGAGCAAGGTATTTCCCTGCTGCTCATTTCACGGGGATGAACAACCCCTTTCTGCTTCAGTGACGAAAACACCTGCCTCCACCTCCACCTCCTTCCCACAGCAGCGCTGCACACGTACGCTCTCCCACCTGCATGGCTGTGCGGTCGGCGTCCTCCCACTTGTCAAGGGCAAAGGTGGCTTCTGCTCCATACCCCAACGAAGAACTGATCTGCTAGCGGCGGCGATTCAGCGCCTGGTGACGCCCCAACGCATGGTGCGTGCCCAGACGCAGCTGCCTCGCTCGGTGCGGATACCTAGGGAGAACAACAGCAGGGATGAGACGTAGGTATGAGGGGACACGGGCAGTTACAGGGGTCACACGCATCTAGAAGCTCCCGGGGTTCACTGCGGAGCTTTACGTCTCCAAGTAACAACCTCAACTGGAAGCAGCGGTGACCACGAAGCCTGGACATTTGAGGATCTGCCCCTGGCGTGACGAAAAGGTAAGACTGAGCCTTGTGGCCCTGTGATGCAGGTGAAGACAGGCATCACAGGAACGTTGCAAGGGAATCCCAGCTCTTCTGGTGTCACTGCCTCACTTGAGCTGGTCTTCCATGCCAGCCTGCTGCTCTTAGCCCCTTGGCGGACGTTGATGCAGACGGAGCAGCAGCTTGCTCAAGTCAGGAAGTCAGTCACGCCAGAAAAACCATGAAAAAGCTGATCGTTTGAGGCTGCACAGCTTTTGCAAGAGGCCCCAGCTCAGGCTACTGCAACACCAGGACCATGTGCAGATGTCAAGAGCCAGCTCCAGCAACAACACAAGGCTGCACCTCGAGTACTGAGTCCAGTTTTGGGCCCCCCACTACAAGAGGGACACTGAGGTGCTGGAGAGGGTACAGAGTTGGGTTGCCCAGCTGGGAAAGGGTTTGGGACATCTGTCCCGTGAGGAAAGGCTGAGGAACCCAGGACTGTTCAGCCTGGAGGAGAGGAGATTGCCTCTCCTCACTGTGCAGTGAGGCAGGGCTTGGTCTGTTCTCCCCAGTGACAAGCGACAGGATGAGGGAAAATGGCCTGAAGTTGTGCCAGGGGAGGTTCAGGTTGGGTAAAGAAGAATTTCTTTACTGAGAGGGCTGTCAGTGCTGGCACAGGCTGCCCAGGGAGGGGGCTCAGTCCCATCCCTGGAGGTGTTGAACAGACGGGTGGGTGTTGGGTTGAAGGACGTGGGTCAGTGGTGTTGGTAGGGCTGGGAAAAGGTTGGACTCGATGATCTTGAAGGTCGCTTCCAGCCAAAACTGTCCTATGATTCTATGATTCTAACTGCCACCATCACATCTGCAGAAAGGCTGAGAAATAGAAACCACAGGCAGCAGCCTCCACACCCCACTCCCCCACCAACTGCCCGACTTGCACCGAGTGAGGACAGCTCTTCCAGGTCCGAGGCCGCGGCGCTGTGGGAAAAACTCCCACAGTTGCTGCAACGCCCGAATTTATGTGCGGTGAGGATGAGATAGAGAGCAACCTAGTCCAGGGAAAAGTCACCCCTCCACTATCAGGGTGGAAGGATGGGGGAGCTCACACCCCCCCTGCCATACTCTCCTCCATGCTGAGCACGCAGGGATCGACAGTAAAAGCACGTCATAGGCCTTCAGGCTTTTTATTTGTACCTTCTTCTTGATCTGGCCAAGGAGAAAAGTGGAAGATTGCGTCCTGTCACGTGTGGGGTCTCCTGGGGATCGATATTGGGCCTGGCGGTGTTTATATCTTCGTTAGTGATCTGGATGATGGGATCAGGAGGAGTACCCTGACAAAATTTGCCAACGATATCAAACTGAGCAGGGAAATGGACACTTCGGAAGGGAGAGCCACCCTGCAGGAAGGCCTGGGCAGGCTGGAAGAGAAAAAAACCTTATGAATTTCAACAAGGACAAGTGTAAGGTCTTGCACTCGCACTATGGGAAAACAAAATCCAGGAGTGCAGCACGGGGTGGGATCTACCTGGCTGGAAAGGGACCCTCTGGGGGTGCTGGTGGAGAGTACGAGTGAGCAGCGCGCTGCGGCTCCAAAGAAAACCAATGGGATAGAATCCAATGACGATCTCTAAGGTCTCTTCCAACCTAAGACATTCTCTGATTCTACTATCATCTAATCCAACGTCCCCGCCATGGGCAGGGACACCTCTCAACCAGACCAGGTTGCTCAAGGTCTCGTCCAACCTTGAACATCTCCAGGGAGGGGGCAGCCACAGCCTCTCTGAGATGCTGGGTTGCACCAACAAGAACATCTGCAGCAGAGATAAAGAAGTCACTGTCCTACCCTGCTCTGCACTGGTCAGGCCACACCTGGGATACCACGTTCAGGTTTAGTCCCCGCTGTACGAAAAAGAAGTGGACAGGCTGGAGCGGGGCCGGAGAAGGACCACAAAGATGACCCGAGGATGAGGAAGCCAGCCCTGTGAGGAAAGGGTTTCTTCAGCCTTGAGAAAAGAAGGCTTAGGGAGACCGTATCACCACCTCCCAGTATTTAAAGGGTGGCTGCAAAGAAGAAAGAGACTCCTTTTTACAAGAAGTTACATGGAAAATATGAGGGGTAATGGGTACAAGTTACTCTTGGGGAGATTCTGATCGGACACGAGGAAAATTGTTCACAATGAGAATGATCAGCCACTGGAAAAACGTCCCCGGGGAAGCAGTGGAGTCCCCGACATTGGACACTTTAAAGATTCAGCTGGACCTTTTAATGGTTCTGGGTATCCAGAACAACAAAGGTTGGACCAGACGACCCTTGAGATCTCTTCCCCCTTGATATTCTACCATTTCTTGGGCGCCGAGGGAAGAGCTCAAAACAGCAGTGGAAGGCAGAAGGGTTCTGGGATGGAAAGAGCCAGGACCTTCCCATGTGACAACTCCTAACTCACCCCAAAGTTCTGCTCATGCCGCTCAGAGGAGAGCCATGCCATGGGCACCTTGAGCGGAGTGAACGTCACCTCCTCGCATCGCTGCTGGGAGCCATGAAGACAAAACAAAAAGCAAGCACCTGGCTGGAGCAGCGGCGGTATAATCGCTCAGGATGTTTGTCCCGCTCGTGTCTAAGAGGATACTTGATCTCTGGCTCTTCAAGTCAAAACCACGCCGAAAGTAGTAATAATGCAGCAGCACCATGTGCTGTTAGAATACAGGATCACTGCAAGAAAGGCCTTGCCCAGGTTCCTATTCCAGAACAAGCTTTCAGGATGTGTTGCGTAGAAATCACAGCAGCTCTGTGACCCGTCAAAATCTGGGTAAAAACCCCCGGTTTGTAAAATATCCCCCAATGCCCGCATTTGCTATTCTAACACGAGCAATAAAACTGTTCCTGGTGAAACATTAAGAAAACCGGGCTTAATGAGGGTCATTTTCGATGAAGCCAAAAAAAGAAACTCTGAACCTAGCTGGAAAGAACTCTCAAGCTTTCATTCACAATGTTTATTAAGAAATTCATTTTGTACTACCAATTACACAAATAAAGACTACTAATAGCAAGACGCGCATTAAAACCAAAGGAAACTGTTCCAACTAACAGGAAAGATTAAAAGAAAACATTTAAATGTTTCAAATTTAAACAAACTGTAAAATAACAGGACTTTGTGAAAAACAAACTTTATTTCCCAGGACTCCAACCAGTCAGCCTTTAGGGACTTTCATGTTATATTTCTCCAGGCAAACCCCAGAAATCTATAGACAGCAATGCCCTCACTTTGTTCCCCCAAGAACTACCTACTTGATAAGACCATATTAAACAAGAAAATAAATTAAAAAATCAAACCTTAATGCCAGAGAAGACTGAAAGCTGTTCAGGCAAAGAATAGACTCATCTGAATTAACGGAAGACACATATTCAAGAACCAAACACCATCGAAAAGTTAGATGAAAGCTCAGGCAACACTGCACAGCTCCTGTCCTATTACTGCTCTGCAGAATAAAACCACCAGAAACAACAAGCAGCAACCTAAAGCGCCTATGAGCTCGAAACGAAGCACTAAAACCTCCTGAGAAGAGCCAGAAAACTGCTGAGCTTCAACCCTTGCCCGCAGAAACGATATAAAACCCAGGCTGCCAAAACACACATCGCCTCCCCTCTGTGGGCACTCACCCAATTTCCCACCACAAAAAATAAAATCGAAATATGAAGTTCCCCGTTGCAAACCTACGAGCTTCTCGCATGCTCTGAGGAGCACAAGCTACCTACCAAAAGCCCAGAAAAAAAGAGTGGAGGCACCGAAAGCAAAGCAGGGATCACAAAACGACGGAGCGTGTCCACGGTTTGATCTCTTCATCTGCTGAGCCCCTGTCCTCCCGAAGCAATGCAGCTCTCTGGTGCCTTCTGGGACCTCATGTGCAAAAAGCAGAGCAAAATGAAAGTAAAAAACAGCGCAGGAATTCCCCAACGGCAATTTATCCGTGGTCAAAACAATGAGATGAGCAAATATACCCGACCACAGCAGCTGAAGAGGGTTATCCTATTCTAAAATGTATAGCTACGGGGTCATTTAGGCAAAGCTTAGGGGGAGTGGTCCAAAGAAATGGAAATCATGAGCAAATGCTCTCTGTAGGAACCTTTGAGTTGGCTGCGGTTAAGGCTCTTAAAATGGTAAGGTTTTTAAATATATGCATAGATCTGATTATTCTGGCACACAGGGAAAT